AATGTTGAATGATCAGTTTTAATGGGTGAAGAAGATATGCTTTTGTTGTCATGTTGTCAGAGCCTGTCCTCAACTCAACCATTTCTTGATCAATACTGAGCTATTTTTCCTAGGCTATTTTACTTTAGTCATCAAGTAAAATTGTATTTTATTCTAATTCTAAAGAAAACATTCCAGTGTCTTCTGACTACAAAATACATTTTCTGAGACATTGTGAAACACTGGCATTATTTAAAGATAATTTTATTATTCGACTTTAATATAACTTCATTTATTTCCATTTTTTCTTAAATTTCTCTCCTGTTTTCAGTTGATTTCTTTGACTTTTTTTTTAATTTATTTTGCCTTCACTTACATATTTTGTTACGTTTAAAGTAATTCTTCATATTGTGTCTCCTCAATCTTTTATGTCAATTATTACTTCACCTCATCCACTCACTACACTAGTCTAGTGTCTTCTACATAGGTAGGCCTGTTTACATGTCCCTGCATTCACCCTAAAGGAGAGAAGAGGTATGAGTCGTATCCATGAAATGAATGAGATGAATTTACCAGAGGAGCACTTCTCCAGTAGGAAGGTTTCCTCAAGCACTGTTGTCACAGGTGACAAGAGAGCTGCTTGCAGCTCTGCTCTGCTGGCCTTTGTGGTTGCAGCCTGTATTCTTCTGGTGGAAAGACTTCTGAAAGCACAGGGAGCTGTGCAAGGCCATGGGAGAGGGAAGAGAAAGGGCTGGCCATGCAGTCCCTGTAGAAATCTGAATCACAGGCAGCTCCTTCTCATCCTATAGCTTATTTTTGTCCAGGAGTGTCAAACTTTCTCAACTATGTTTATCCTGTATGGAAGTCATAGATGAACTTAAATATCACATTTAAGTGATATTTAAGCTGGAAGGGATGTTGCCTAAGGGAAATACTTATTAATACATCTCATTTTGGATGCTGCAGCCAGAGACATTAACTTGATGGTGACCAGGCAGTAAACTGAGGATAGTGGGACAAGAAAGGTCTGCATCCATATTAGTTCCTCAAGAAAGCCAAAGCGTGGCTGCAAACATAAAACATGATGGCTTTCACTGCTTAAAAGCTTCACACGCCCAGGCACATTTTGGCCTGACTGACTAATCCTCTCCCAGCGTACGGAAGAGTCCTTTTCCCTTGTAGCATAAGTGAAACCACCCTGTTTTGGAGAGGAAGAGCATTCAGCTGTGTGAGTGAAACGCACTCAGCCATGGATCAGGAATCACTCCGAGTCAGGCCCCAGGTGAACCCCACCTGATCTTCATCACCAGTGAATGACCAGCCAAGGAGCGATGCTGGCTTGGGGTCCCATTACTGGAACCCACCCTCACTGCTGTAGCCCATCTTATGCCAATGCGGTCTTGTCACGGGGCCATCTCCTGAAGACCCATCTAGCCTTAAATACCCTGTGATTTTGTCCATTGGATATACAATTCTGTGTAAGACTTTCTTTCTCCGTAGTCAGGTTGTATTTAGCCTAATTACAACCCTGGGATTTTTGTGATAGCTGTTTTAAGCCAACATTCTATTTGGATGGCATATTTTTTTTTTTTTTGGATTCATTTGAGATATTTTCTGACAGTACAGTTTTGAGTTGCTTAAAGTACCTGACAATTTTATGTTTATTTGTAGACTTATTCCTATTGCAGTACTTCTTCTTGGGAATTCTTTTAAGTATTTTCAAGGACTTAATTATGTTCAAATAATATGTCATAAATATTTTGCCCCATGTGGAAATTCACAATCTAACAAGGAAGGCAATTAGTTTCCTATTGAATAGTAGCATGGTGTTATAAGTCCAATGTATGAAAGTGTTTGTGCTAGACCTTGACTGTATTTGAAATGGCTATTGGTTTTCAGGCTTTTTATGCTATGAATTTCTATCTATTCTGGTAAGAAAGATTTAGCAGCTGCATATTGAAGTTTCTTATATGAAAGCAAATTCAGAAAACTAGAATTTCTTAAAGTATCTCCTTTAACGGCTTAAATAATATTTCTCTTAAGCCCTCCTACCTATGAAATCTTTTTATTTCAGATAAAGCTGGGGTTGTGGATAAATTGAGCCTTACCTTGCTTTTAGATGGATTACCTACTGTGGGTTATCCTAAATTCATCCTGCCTTCCCTTCAGGTTACCACGATGTGAAAAACTGAATTTACATTACCAAACCGTAATTCTCTCATGTACACATTCTTTTTACCTAACAGTCAACATGGGGTTAATGATCTCTTGACTCATTTAGAGTTGCAGGTGATGGGTGAATGTTTAAAGAAAGGTGTCATGTTTGCTAACACATTTATTGAAGAGCAGACTCAGCACAACATGGGTGGAAAAACATGAAAGTGAGTGTGGAAGACAAGATTGTCCTGCTCTGTAGGTTCCAAAGCACTTTCCATTTTATGTCTGCTGTGTTATTACATTGGGAAACAAGCAGTAAATGTTGAGGTTTTTTGTTTTCTAATCTGTTCTGTTTTGGTGGGGGCCTTGGAGTGAGGGCTTTATTTGGGGTTTTCTTTCTTTTTGATTTGTGTTTCTCTTTGGTAAACATAGTAGACAAGAACTTTTGGTCTATTGTTTGCGTGGATTACAAAGGAAATTGTTGAAAAGGTTCTGCTATTGTATTTTGGGAATGATGATCTTGCCAAAGTTATTGAAGTAGGGTTAGGCTGTTGCACTGTGTTCTCCAGAAGGCTAACCCTTGAAAACTGGGTGAAGAGTAAACTGTGTGGGTTTGTTTTTTTTTTTTTTTGTCAGGACACAGCATCAGTGGTCTGTGATGTGCACTAACTAGCAGCTGATTTCTGGAGGAAATTTGAGATGTTATTTTGATTTAGCAAGCTCTCTGTCATGGGGATACTTTTTTCGAAAAAGCCATATCATAGATATTTTAAAGTTATTAAATAAATTATTAAATTTTAGGTGATCTAGATGCAGGCAGGGGACAATAGGGTGGAGAAGGTAAGAAACAAAACCTTTGATCAGTGCTGAGTAGAAAAAAAAAAAAGGTCAATTAAATGGGGCATTGAGTTGAAGAAAATTCAAAAGAAGATTCAGGACTTGGACAAAAATAAAATAACTACCTAGGGACATGGTTTGGTGGTCATGGCAGTGTTGGGTTGATGGCTGGGCTTGATCTTGAGGTCTTTTCCAACCTTAATGATTCCATTATTCTACCTAGGCTTGGTAGACTGGAAAAGGCAGTTACATGAATGATGTATATGTTGTATCATTAACAATTTATTAATGATATTGTTTTCACCTTTTCAAATCTTAATATCTGAAATATGCAAGGATTTTATTTTTCCTGCCTGGTTTGTTAAACTTGTGTTGCAGAATTGTGATATTCTCCAATTTTTCCATCTCACTAAAAAGCCACAGTTGTTTTATGTCAGCACTCCATCATTTGCAGTTTTTTTCTGTCTTGTACAAGTCCCAAGGAAATAAAAATTATTTAAATAAGTTTTCAAAATTAACTGGTATATAAAGCTTGTTAAAGAACTTCAGCTTTAAAAAATGCAGTTTTCCTGAATGATGCTAGTAGTTGTTTCTGCTGTCTAACACAATGAAACCTCATTTCTCTAAGTGTTCAATAAAAATGTGTATCATATTTGGGGACAGAAACGATATGTAAAAGGCATGTGTGAGAGTGTCCAGATGGCTGTATCTAGTAAAAAAAAATTGGGCGTTGAGATGGACTACAGCAGTTGTCATGGAACTTTGTCTAGATGAATGAGGATAGTTGAGCATACATAGCATAATCACAAAGCTGCTGGGCAATATTTGTTTGGAGCAGGAAGGTGCTGTTGGTGCCAGATGCCTTGGTTCATCCAAACAAAGGAAGTTTTGTTGCACTGGAGGAGGGACTAAGGCAAAACTAGGTATGTAGGAACAAATCTGAAAGAGGGAGCCCTCGCTCTCCTAGACTCACAACCAGGATATGCTTGTTTGAGAAAATGTTGGTCCTCTGGGGAGATATGAGCCATCTGTTACTAACCAGCAATTAAAACATGCATGGTAAAGGGGTAATTACTCTACACAATAGGATTTTTCATGCTTAAGCTTGTCTGTTGCTGTCACACCCAGTTGTATTTGTCTCTTGGACAATTTGTAGTGCAGACTGTTGCTGGAAAGAATGTTTTGCAACAGGTATTTGCCTTCCAGGAGCAACCCCAGAGTTCACTGCTGCTTCCTTTGGTAATTTCACATCCTGTCACCTTTTTGAATGTTGTATACCATGCATGCAGCAGCTATTCATAATAACCTCTTACCAGATTCCCTAGAAGTGAATTCATTGCCGTTTACACCATAGATTTGTTTGGTTTTCATTCAGCAGCATACTGCATATGTGGGTCATGTGCATGTCTAATAACATTTACGTTACTAAAGCAAAAATTCTTCTTGAACCTTTAATACCTTCTGACTTTTCTTGGGCTAAAGCCACTTCTTAATTTTTGTGGAAGTGGTGTTGTGATGAGAACAGGGACTGTTTTATTCAGTGTTATATCTTTGACAATGCAAGGGAAGTTTGTGTCTCTGACTGGGCAATAATACTTGAAAATAGCCTGGTTAATAATTTAAATTGCTTGCAAATTCAGGTGCAAACTTTGAGTGATTTTTGCCTCAGATTCTCAAAATACCTACTGATACTACAGTCATGCTGAACTCTTCGGACAAGAATGAGTACATAAAAAAAGCTGATTTTTTTTTGTGTTCTTTTGTAATGTCTTGAGAAAAAAAAGATTTATCAAATAGCTTTTTAATTTTTCAAGGTACAAGGCCTAATAAGATCAGATTGTTTAGTGAGACATTCCACTGTATCTTACTGGTTCTATGCCTTTCCAACTAGAACAGGACAGGGGTTGAGAAAACATTTTTGTTTTCTATGTCATTTAAAAACTAGATCTGCTGTTTTTTGTTACAATCTACAGGAGTGGATGAGACAACCTCACTGAAAGATTATGCTTGTTTTTTGCTATTAACAGGCCAAGCTCTGATAGCAGGCGCCACAGCATCCGGGAGAGGATGTCCAGTACCAGCGAGAAAGGGAGCCTGTCCATGGAGTCCACCAAGGAGACCCGTTACTGTGCTGTCTGCAATGACTACGCTTCAGGCTACCATTATGGGGTCTGGTCTTGTGAAGGCTGCAAAGCTTTTTTCAAAAGAAGTATTCAAGGTAATAAACTGTTTAAGTGAATCACCTTTACTCTTAAGGATACTGTGAAGCTATTTGTGAGTGTAGCTTGAACCCAGGACAATGACATTTAGTGGGTTTTTATTAGCGGCTGCTGTGCTCTCCCAGATGTTTTTAGCCCTCTATTTGGTGAATGGTTCTTGCAGGTATATAATATGTTGTTATTTAGTCCAAGATTAATGAAGGAAAGAAAAGCTTCTCTATGTTTTTGTTGGTTTGGGCATGTCTAACCATGCATGCAGTGAGAAATCTAATTTGAAAATACATATTGGATCACGATGACCAGTATTTTAGAATATATCTATCTATCTATCTATCTATATCTTTTTTTGTGATAAATTTCTTAACTAAAACAAATTTTTTTTTTTTGAGATTTCCCTGTCAGATGAAGATTAATTCCTGTTGGTTGATTTATTCATCTTAATTTAGTGCTCCATTAGCAGGGTGATTCAATCCAAATCTCAACTCCCTGAAGATCCGAGATCTCTTTTGAGAACCAATATTGAAAACGAATATTTCCTTGGTGAAATAGCATCTGTATCTGTCATCAAAGTGGAGCTTTGAACTATAGTTCACAGTCTTGTCACAGTTATAAGTATACTGTGCAAGGTGTCCAGTGGAGTAAAGGGCATCCCTGAGAAAGTGTGTTAATTACAGTGACTGAGACAATTCTTGATTTAAATGCCTGTTACTGTTCGGAATGGATACTCTTTTTGCTTTGTTCAACATCTCCTAAACTGAATAAGAAGTATGATGCTACTGAAAATTCAGGTACTGCTCAGTATCTTAAGTCTTATTTTGGAAAAGAAAATAAAAAAAGATTTCTTCTTTCCCAAACAGAAAACTAGTCAAGTGCTATGCTTTAGTTAGGTTTCTGTAGTTTTTTAAATCTCCAGGTGATATACAGGCACAAAGATTCCTGTTGCTCCTTTTTTGAATTAAACATAGTGAGGGACAATTTTTGCTTCATATCACAATGTGTGACTGTTGCCCGTTTTGTTGCATGTCTACCACCGAGGTGAGTTAAATAGGACTTCCAGCACTCAGCTTAGAATTTTCCCCAACTTAAAGAAAAAAACTGAATGATTAACTGTGGGGTAGACATTGATAAAATGATTTGAATGTCAGTGATTAGTTAATAGTTACTTGTATTTCTGCTTTTCTAGACTCATTGAAATGATTTTTAGAAAAGAGAGTGGTGACAGCCAGACGTCAATAATAAGCAACATTGGAGGGAGAAAGGGTGAAATGCTTTTCGCTTAATATCAGAACGATTTACTTAAAAGTACGACATAGGGAGAGCAGCTCCTTATTGAACAATTTTTGTTGTTTTTTTTTTTTTTGCTTTGCGTTCTCCTGACCAAATAAGAACTATTCTTAGAATTTTGAAATTCTCTCCTTGTACTTGAACTGAACTAAGTCAGCAACAAAGAGAAAATTGAAATATTCTTAAACAGGATTTAGTTATTAAGTAATTGTACAGCACAGATCTTCACCTGTTTGGCCACTACAGGAGAAGAAATTAATCTGACTCTTTCACTTATTTAATTGGTTCCATGTCAGCACTTGGGTGCTTTTGCCCTAGTCTTCATGTGGACAAATGTTGTGGTCCTCCACAATGGATCTTTTATCTGTTTGTGGTACAGAACGTGCTAATTAGCAAATTTAGTCCTTGTTACATTTGTATACTTAACATAATTTTTTAGTAGGTAACCTTTAAAAATTTAAAGTTTAAGTTTACCTTGAGTCCTAAAATGCTCTTCTTAATCTTTAATTCATGTTTACTCTAATTTAAGCCCATTGTTGCTTGCCCTATCCTTTGTGGGCACAAAGAAGGCTTATTACAACAACCTTTTACATAGTTGAAGACTGTTATCATATCTTTCTTCAGTCTTCTCTTTTTTAGACTAAACAAATGCACTTTTTTCAGTAGAATGTGCTTTCTAGACTTTTGATCCTGTTTGTTAAGCTCCTCTGTAGTTTCTGCTGTTCATCCACCTCTTTTGTGGTTAACAGCTATTGTAAAAAATGACATTTACTAATGTCAAGAAAATAATTAAAAAGTGAGTGCTTGTGAGATAATTATTATCACTTGATGACAGATGGTATGAAAATTTCTCTGAAAGACTTAAAGTCATTAGTTCCTAGTCTTGATAAACTAAGGGATTGTTTTCATTTCCTACTGTATCTGGAAGATATATCTCCCTCAGCAATTGCATGTTCTCTTTGGACATATTCAATGTATGAAAATGACAGTAATTTTTACATTGAGAATACATGGCAAAACATGCCTTTTGCCTTGCAGATGATAATTTTTAATAGATTGTGATCAGATATCTGGGAATGAATACTAATACTGTGTAGGTGTAGGCGTAGAAGAATATGTTGACTAAATACTATTATATCTGCATTGTACGTATGATATGCATTCCTAGAAAAGGGACAAAAATATGTTTAAAGTGTATTGGAATACACAGGACTTCTTTGTATAAACAAATGTATCAAAGAATGCTTTCAGCAAAGATTGTTGTTGCTGTTTAGACTGTGTCTTTCTTTAAATTCAGGACAACTGTGCTAATTTTGTGCTTTTCTGTCCTGTATTTCTCACTATATACGTAGATGCAGAGATGATTGGTCATTTTTGTACTTGTCATCAGAGATTTCATAGGACCATTGCTATAGTGAAGTTTGATGTTCTTAATAGATTAGAATAGACTGCAGTTTATTAAGAACAGTCTATATGGTTCTTAGTAGAACCACAGGAAAAAGTGAGGACAGCCACGAACAATTGAACAAGCTGTGTGAGGTAATCCTTTTCCCCCCTGTGTTGTGTCTGTTATTCTCAGTGATATGCTTGCTTGCATAAGTATACTTAAACTTTGTGAAACCTCACATCTGCATTGGACCTTCCCTGAGGTGGAGATGGATAACTTCATTTTTATCCAGCAGAGCTGGAATGGTTCTGGAAATATTTTGTGAATTTAAAATACAAAGTTGGTTTTCTTTGCTGTCAAACAGTTAAACCTTAAAAGGCAACTTGAGTTAGTAGCTGTGTCTCAATATGTGCAACTGGTCAATTTTGTTTAAACAACAGATGGTTGGTGGAAAATCTCAGCTGCCTCCTGAAACTGCACATGGCAGTGTATTTTGCTAGTTTGTGTCCCAAAAGTGATTTGGACCTTGTTTTGAGAACTCTCTGCAGAGTGATACTAATGTACAATCTTTCATGGGAGAGAAAAACGATATGACATTAAGAACACTGTTCTGCTTGGTGGTAGAAAAGTACTTTGTTCTTCATCCAGCATACAGAACCTTCAGGAGTGTTCTTGGTCAATTGAGTTGAATCTAGAAGCATGACAAGAAGTTGCATCACAGCACACTGTACCTCTGCACTGAAATATTTGTGGATGTTAAGATCAAGAAGGACCATTAGATCATTGTCTGGTTTTCTCTCAATATAAACTTTATATGTTATCCATGTACAAACACTGTTAAGTTAATGGAGATAAATCTGTTAGAACATGCCTAGCCTTGATGTGTGTGCTCAGGAGGAAAGTTCTTATAGCTTGTTAAAATCAAATCACCTTGATATCTCAACTGAACTAAAATGTTTCAATATTCTGCTGTCTTTCTGAGTCCTTTGTCTTTGCACCTTTTCTGATCCTCAACACCCATAACAGCCTCTTTAATATTTGGATATCAGAATTGGATGAAGTATTTCGACATCAGCTCTACAAATTCCATTTACAAATTGAAAGCCCCTTGTGATTCACACATTCTTCTCCCCCTCCTTCTAATCCTCTTGAGTTTTGGATAGCTACCAAAGGGTACAGGACAGCAAGCAATTGCTCTTACCATCACTGACAAGTGTCCAACAAATGCCTACATAAGTGGATCTGAGAACCACCAGTGGGATCACAAGGGATTCAGAACAAACAAGGGGTAACTCCTTACACGGAGGGTATCTTGAGCTCAGAGCATTGCTGAAATATTTTAGAAATCCCCAGCTCTATTTCCCTGCCTCCTTTATATGACCTTCTGATGTTTTTCAGGTATGTCTTTTCTGCCTTTTCTCAGGAGGCAAAAATATGGGATATTCCACAAATATTCAATTAAGAATTATTGCATGATGGGAGGCAGTACCAGTCCAGCAAGAGCAGGGTGCCACATGAGAATGGATGAATAGCCAATGCTGAGAGATTCCAGAGACTTGCCATTAATGTCTTGATCACAGAGATACAGTGGTCTCCAAATTCTTGAAGCTTGGAAGTATTTTAGTTGTGTGGCTTGAACATGGATTTTATTTAACAGTTATACCTTCTGACTATTGAGTAGGAATGTTTGGGCACTAGACTGAGTGTTATCAATTAACTTCATAGTGACAGAGCTGTACTTTTTTGAAAGTATGTAGTTCAAACTTTAATGTTAAGAGTAGTGTTAATATGTACATATTTTAGTTTCAGTTAGAGAGAATGTCACTGGTAAAATTTCTGTATAAGTGGATGTTTATGTAATGCTGCAGTGCAGCAATTGCAGTATTGTCAGTTTTGTAGATTTCTGAGATCTTCCCTTTAACTTTCCATTATTGTTTTCTGTTTTCATGGTATTTTTGTAATCTGTTTGATAACGTCTGCAAATACTGTTAGACGCTGCAGCCAGGAAGACAGACTCCCTAATAAAACTGCTTGCACACTGATTCTATCAGTTGTCAGCAGAAAGAACAAAACTGCAAAACATGAACCTAAGTGAGATTAGCAGAGGTGATCACAGTCAATAAACAGGGGCCTGCAGACTGGTATCTAGTCTCAGGGTAGAAAACATTTTCAGTTTGAAAGGTAGGCAACTGTTGGAAGTTTGAAGGCTAGAAAATGTGTGTGTGTGAATCCATAGAATCATGAATGTTTTGGGCTAGAAGGGATCTTTAAAGATCATCCAGTCCAACTCCTCTGCGGTGAGCAGGGGTATCTTTAACTAGATCAGGTTGTTCAGAGCCCTGTCCAAC